GGAATTTCAATTTTAGTTATTCCATATGCATTAACAATATCACCTGATCTAATTTGAATAAATCTATTTGCCTAGAAAGGAGGATATAAAAATAAGTATATGCTATAGTAAGATAAGCATATATAATAAAAATATATTTAATATAAGCCTCTTCAAAAAACTTTTCTGTAGGTTCTGTTGAATTATTTAAAGATTTAAGCACAACCTTCTGGGGACCCTGATAAACAAATTTTTGTTTACTTTCATTAAAATCTAATATCGATCCTCGTTTCCATACCGCAGTGTATAAAGTAGCAAAACCACCCTTTGCAAAAGGTTTTAGATCTTTGAATTGATTGAATGGAATCCATTCCATAATATGTAGAGGGAGTCCTGAACTTGATTGACATTCGCAAATAATTCTATCAATAATATCGCATCCAGATGTCCAAGTTCCAAAAAAGCTTTTAAATATCTTATAATGCAATTTTCGCAGTAACGAGTTGAATATCTTGTTAAATTGCAATAACTGCATTCCATTGGCTTGCCTCTTTTGTATAATTCTTTCTCTCTTTCAGTGTTTCTTGAAGCTCTGTCTTGACAAGATTCCTTTTATTCTGGGGTAAGATCCGAATTTTCAGATAGCGTTTATTATAGATTTCTATTCTATCTTCATAGTTTGAGGAATATAACTCAGAATAATATATAAGCTTAAAATAAGTTTGGCTTACAAAGCTTTTCCTATCTTTCTCATCTTTCACAGTAACTTCCATTTTTTAAATCGAATTGAAAAAAAATGTGTAGGCAGAATTTTCGAACTACGACTTCTCCTTTAAAATTTGCACGATATGAATTTATTAATCATGAATTCGGAGATGCACTAAAGCTTGTGATACTTTCATATTAGATAGTTACCTTATTCTTAGCTTAAAATTATTTGTGTAATATGATTTTAAGAAGGCGGATCAATAAGGTGTAATGAATATCGACTATATCATTATATAACAATAATTGTCGGGGATGATGCTGAGAAATTATTTTAATATAAAATTTTAAAAAATTTTTCTACTATTTTTTTTAGCCTTTTTTTTTTTTAGAGTTAGGTTAAAATTTAGGGTTAGAATTTATAGTAAAATAGTATATGTGGATTTTAATAGGGTTTATATTTTTAAATTGAGACCCAAATTCTCAGCATCATTCCTAGAGATGGGCAAGGTAATAAAATACGTAATCATTACTTATTTTTTACCCCCTTACTAACTATTACTAATTATTATGTATTGTTGAGATTGCATAGTGATTATTAATTATTACGTATATATTGTATCACTAATAACGATGTATATAATAAATAATAAATGAGATTAATAATTATCAAATACCGATACCATTGTCTTGTATTTTTGCAATGCCAAATTGGCCACCACCAAATCCTGAAATACAATATTTGTTGCGCAAGCTTTCAAATGGATCTGTTGGTCATCCCCTGGGTCCTCTTTGGCAAGCTTTTGACCCAATTAAGACTGATGATAAAAAACCTAAAGCTCACTGCATATTTTGTAACCACAACAAGTCTATATCTAGTACTGCAGCAGTGATGATTTCACATATTAAAAAATGTGAGAAAATTCATCCAGATGTCTGAGCTTACCTTATTAATGCTCATAACTGTCAACAAAAGTTAGTTCCAATTATTGAACGTAATCAGCATCAAGATAATTCTTATTCATCAGATGGATCAATTGTACCTTTTATGTCAGTTTCGAATTGTGATTCTGTTTCAACTTTTTCTGATAATAATATGAGTGAAAACAATGATGTTTTTAAAAATACAAGTCAGATACCTACACAATTACCAATAGATGTATGTAGATCTAATTGATTATTATTAGAAGGTATTATAGAAGGTGAAGCATCTCTTTTACTTGTAGATGCATGCAAATTTAAAGAATTTGTTTATTCTATAAATAACTGGTATCATGTTCCTGCAAGAAAACAACTTTTTACAAATATTCTCAATGATGTTTATAAAAATATTCAAATCTCAATTCAACAATTTATTAATATGTCTAATTGGATTACTATCATGACAGATGGATGGACAAATATTTGACAGGATCTTGTGAATTTTATTGCTATTGAAAAGGATCGAAGATCAGAGCTTATTAAAATTAAGAACACATTAGGAGAAAGTCAAATATTAATTACTATATTTAAAGATCTAGAAGAAGTTTTAATGCAAATTGGAATTAAATGAATTAATGCAGTTATTACAGATAGTGTTACAAGTTATATTCATATAAAAATTATACTTGTACAACAATATTTTAAAATTATAGTTTTACCATGTATTGCACATGAATCGAATCTTTTGGTTGGTAATATGTTGAAGCATACATATATAAAGTCAATCATAAGTTCTGCTATTAAAATTATTGAATTTTTCGAAAAAGCACTTAGGTTATTCAAATTATTCGAGCTCACTCTAGTGATAATACATTTAGATTTACTCTTTCAATTTTTACTTGATGGAATTTTTTTTTTATTTCATTATAACAATTACAAAATAAAGAGCAATACTTAAAAGATATAGCATATGAAATGGAATCCTGATTTGATAAAACTATTATGTCAATACTAAAAAACAATAAATTCTGGAATAATTTAAGAGTTATAATTTATATATTAAAGTCATATTCACTTACTCCTATTATCTTAAAGTTTCAATATGCTACACTAGCTGATGTAGTTCATTTATGAACTCAAACACAAATAAATATCAATATAATTGATGACAAAGATTTTTAACTTTATGTTAATACACATATTCAATATAGATGAAATCGAATATATAATCCAATTTTGCTTATTGTTAGTTATTTCATCTGAGATATGTTCTTACAAAAACTATTCATCCAGAACTTATAACTATTATAAAAAAAGAATCAAGTATTTTATTTGAAAGCTTATTTCCTGATAAAGAAATTAGAAAATTTTGTATACAATTAATTGATTGGAATAACAAAGCATATTCTTTTGATTTTGAAGATAATTGGAATAAATATTTGGTTAGTAATCCAATATATTTTTGGAATAATTTACAAAATGAAATGTTAGAATTATCAATTTTTGCTACTCACATAATGTCAATACCTCCTATTTCAACTGAATGTGAATGTTTTTGGTCAGTTATATTAAATATCTATTCTTTACAATATAACAGATTAACCAATAGACATGCAAGCAAATTAACTTGTATTCGTTGACACATGATTCAAGATGAAAATATTAAAAATTATGATGTTAAAAAGTCTCAAGCTATTCAACAATTTAATAATAATGAAAATAAAAATGCTGATAATAAATTATTTAATCTCGAAAATGAAGATGAGTTTTATAATTTAGAACAATTAAAAAATCTGAAAGAAAACATAATAAAAACAATTGAAAATATTGAAGAGTTTAATGCTAATGGTGAAATTATTTACAACAAAGCAACTAGTAAATGTAGTACTCAATCTTCATTTCAAGTCAACTTTCAGTATGAAAATACTTTAGAGAATTGGTTTCTTCTTGAAAAATTTGACAGCATTTTGCTTTAAA